TCTCTACTAAAAATATAAAACTTAGACAGGCGTGGTGGTGCGCACCTGTAATCCCAGCTACTTGGGAGGCTGAGGCAGAAGAATCACTTGAACCTGGGAGGCGGAGGTTGCAGTGAGCCAAGATCGCACCATTGCACTCCAGCCTGGGCGATGAGCAAAATTCAGTCTCAAATAAATATATAAACACATACATACACACATTACATACATACATACATACATTAAAGAAATGTTGGAAGCCCCAGCTGCATGGGACCACCTTCTTACAGAGCAACAGCGAGCAGCAGCTGCACTGCAGCCACACTCTCCCCAGGGCCTATTTTTTCCACAGTCCCCAGCACTCCCTCTTATCTCACACCAGGCCAGCTTCACTCATGTGACTTTCTTGGCCTCATTAGGCCTTTGAGTTTGAGATTTTTGTCTGTCCCAAACACCTAATATATAAAGCGGTTATGCTCATGCCTGTAATCCCAGCACTTTAGGAGGACGAGGCAGGTAGATGACTTGAACCCAGGAGTTTGAGACCAGCCTGGGCAACATGGCAAAACTCTGTCTCTACACAAAATACAAAAATTAGTTGGGCGTGGAGGCACGCGCCTGTAATCCTAGCTACTCGGGAGACTGAGGCGGGAGGATTGCTTGAGCCTGGGAAGTAGAGGGTGCGGTGAGCCTTGATTGTGCTACTGGACTCCAGCCTAAGTGAGGGACCCTGTCTCAAAAAAGAACAGTTTAAACCAATTTTTAAATTAGTTTTATAAAATAATGTAGTCTGGCTGAAGCGAAATGTGGGTGGAGCATCGGCAGGCCTGATATTTCTCTTTCTCCTATCATTGTTGTCCCAGGTGCTTCACAGAACCCCAAGACTCTGGAGAAACACAATTTGGAAAGTGTGGACTTGAGTTCTTGTCCTGTGCGGACTGGGACACAGTGAACGGCAGCTTCATAGTCTGGGTGGGGAAGGGGACCCTCCTTTTCCCTCCAGCAGCATTTGGAGTCCTGTGTCACATGCTCCGGGATCCACAGTTCTTTTTTTGTTTGTTTGTTTTGTTTTGAGACGCAGTCTCATTCTGTCACCCAGGCTGGAGTGCAGTGGTGAAATCTTGGCTCACTGCAACCTCTGTCTTCCGGGTTCAAAGGATCCTCCTGCCTCAGCCTCCCAAGTAGCTGGGATTACAGGTACACATTACCACGCCTGGCTAATTTTTGTATTTTTTGGTACAGATGGAGGTTTCACCATGTTGGCCAGGCTAGTGTTGAACTCCTGGCCTCATGTGATCCACCCGCTTCAGCTTCCCAAAGTGTTGGGACTACAGGTATGAGCCACCGTGCCTGGCCTAATCCACACTTCCGAAGGGTATCAAGTAGGATGGGGGAGGGACCTCTGTGAACCTTCGCTGCTCCCCAGAGAAGTCCTGGACATTTTTTTTTTGAGACCAAGTCTCACTCTGTTGCCCAAGCTGGAGTACAGTGGCACGATTTCAGCTCACTGCAACCTCTGCCTCCTGGATTCAAGGGATTCTCCTGCCTCAGCCTCCCAAGTAGCTGGGACTACAGGCATGACCCACCACGCCCGGCTAATTTTTGTATTTTTAGCAGAGATGGGCTTTCACCACGCTGGCCAGGCTGGTTTCCAACTCCTGATCTCAGGTGATCCACCTGCCTCAGCCTTCCAAAGTGCTAGGATTACAGGTGTGAGCCACCATGCCCGGCCGTCCTGGACATCTTTTACGTATTCCCCTAAGACAGCCACCTCCCTACTTCCGCAGGGATGTGAGATCCAGCTGGAATCATTTCTGAGCTAGGATCCTGTTGTCCTGGGTTCTTGTTCCCAAACTGTCCTGGACTCAAGACTCATCAGCCTGGCTTGTCAAATGCAGGTTTCAAAGCCCTTGGATTCTGATTTAAGTAGCTCTGGGTGTGTCTTTGGAATCTATTTCTAACAAAGCACCCGAGGTGCTCTCACACCCAGGCAACTTAGACAAACACTCCTAGCTAGGAGCACAGTCTCTTTAACTTCATTTTTTTTTACATTTTGAATACATAATACGTTCACATGCTTCCAAACACAACAGAGAAAAGTTGTTCTTCAGCTCCTGTTCCCAAGTCCCCAATTCTCCCTGGAGACAACCATCTTTGCCAGTTTTTTGTGTTCAAATCTAGGGACATTTTATACATAAACAAGCACACCCTCTTCCCACTTTTTTTTTTTTTTTTTTTTTGAGATGGAGTCTTACTCTGTTGCCCAGGCTGGAGTGCAGCAGTGTGATCTCGGCTCGGCGTGATCTTGGCTCACCACTACCTCCGCCTCCTGGGTTCAAGTGATTCTCCTGCCTCAGCCTCCCTTGTAGCTGGGATTATAGGCCAGCTAAATTTTGTATTTTTAGTGGAGACAGGGTTTCACCATGTTTTTCAGGCTGGTCTCGAACTCCGGACCTCTTTTTTTTTTTTTTTTTTTTTTTTTTTTGAGACGGAGTCTGGCTCTGTCACCCAGGCTGGAGTGCAGTGGCGCGATCTCGGCTCACTGCAAGCTCCGCCTCCCGGGTTCACGCCATTCTCCTGCCTCAGCCTCCCGAGTAGCTGGGACTACAGGCGCCCGCCACCTCGCCCGGCTAGTTTTTTGTATTTTTTAGTAGAGACGGGGTTTCACCGTGTTAGCCAGGATGGTCTCGATCTCCTGACCTCGTGATCCGCCCGTCTCGGCCTCCCAAAGTGCTGGGATTACAGGCTTGAGCCACCGCGCCCGGCCTCGAACTCCGGACCTCTTGATCCACCTGCCTCAGCCTCCCAAAGTGCTAGGATTACAGGCATGAGCCATCATGCCCGTTCCTTACTTTTTTTTTTAAATGGTAACCCTTTATATACACTCTCCTGCATATTTAGAGCAGCTAGACCTAAGTTTAAGCACAGTACTAGCTTGATGACTTGTGATCCTCCCTGAACCTCAGTTTCCTCCTCTAAAATGGCAGGAATAGCAAGACACCTCACTGTTGTTGGGGAGTCCCAGGAGAGAATGCTTGCCGCGAAGCTGTCAGCACAGGGCCTGGAATAGAGTGAGTGCTCCGTATCTGGAAGTTATGATTAGTTGTGCATTCTAGGGTGGCCAGGCGGGGCTTCCCAGTGCCAGAGGTACAGACTGAGAACCACACCCTTGGTGAGGCCACCCACTTATGACTTAGGGGGCAGAGAGAACCTCAGTAAGGTCAGTGGTGTTTATTGAGGCTTTACTATGTGCTATGTGCCTCTTGCTGAGTTCTTAGCTAGAATCGTGGTATTTCAGGGTTTTTCAACCTTTTTTTTTTTTTTTTTTTTTTTTTTTATATATGGTGTGTCTCGCTGTGTCACCCAGGCTGGAGTGCAATGGCGCGATCTCGGTTCACTGCAACCTTTGCCTCCCAGGTTCAAGCGATTCTCCTCCCTCAGCCTCCCAAGTAGTTGGGATTACAGGTGCTGATTTTTTTTTTTTTTTTTTTGGTAGCATGGTGACATTGCACCATGCTTAACAACATCTCTGGTCTTTACTCACTCAATGCCAGTAACCTTCTTCCTGCCTGTTGTGACATCAAAAATGTCATACATTGCCAAATGTCCCCAAGAAAGAGTGGGGCTGAGGGGGGACAAAATCCTACCCACAGTTAAAAACCACCGCCTTATCTCATCCTCACAGTAACTAACCACAGTAACCCCAGGTGGCAAGTACTGTTAATGCCCCATATTGCAAGTGAGGAGACCTACAGAACAGTCTGGGTGACATCCCCAAGAAAACACAGCTCCGAGATTCACACCCAGGCAGTGTGACTCCAGAGCTCACCTGCCCATTATGCAAGAGAACATCTGATCTCTCAAGAATGTTGCCCTGTTTGGTTGGGAGCAGTGGCTCACACCTGTAATCCCAGCATTTTGGGAGGCCAAGGCGGGTAGATCACAAGGTCAGGAGATCGAGACCATCCTGGTCAACATGGTGAAACCCTGTCTCTACTAAAAATACAAAAAATTAGCCGGGCATGGTGGCGGGTGCCTGTAATCCCAGCTACTCAGGAGGCTGAGGCAGGATAATTGCTTGAACCAGGGAGGTGGAGGTTGCAGTGAGCTGAGATTGTGCCACTGCACTCTAACCTGGGTGACAGAGAGACTCCGTCTCAGAAAAAAAAAAAAAAAAAAAAAAAAAGGCCACGCTCGGTGGCTCACTCCTGTAATCTCAGCACTTTGGGAGGCCGAGGTGGGCAGATCACAAGGTCAGGAGTTCGAGACCAGCCTGACCAACATGGTGATACCTCATCTCTACTAAAAATACAAAAATTAGCTGGGTGTGGTGGTGTGCACCCGTAATCCCAGCTACTCGGGAGGCTGAGGCAGGAGAATTGCTTGAACCTGGGAGACAGAGGTTGCAGTGAGCCGAGATCGTACCACTGCACTCCAGCCTGGGCAACAGAGGGAGACTACTGGAAAAAAAAAAAAATTACCTGGGGAATTTTCTGAAAGCTCAGGCCTCAGCCCGGATGAATTAGATGTGAATCTGTGAATCTCTGGGCATGGGACCTGGGCTTCCACAACTTTGTAACGTTTCCATGGGATTTCAAGGTTGAGAGCCCTGTGTTAGGTTGAGAAATGGTCAGGAAATTTTATAGTCTCAAATCTTGGCAGCCAGTGTGGCAGGATGCAGACCTTCTCTCTGGGTTATCTGGGTTATCTCACAGAGGACCTGCCATTTCTTTCTCTTTTTCTTTTCCTTTCTTTTATATTTAAAATTTTTTTTTGTAGAGTCAGGGTCTTGCTATGTTGCCTAGGCTGATCTCGAACTCCTGGCCTCAAGCAATCCTCTTACCTTGGCCTCCCAAAGTGCTGGGATTACAGGAATGAGCCGCTGCACCTGGCCTAAGACCTGCCCTTACTCCCCCAAGCTAAGCCCAGGCAGCCCAGCCAAGGCAGGTCTTCCCTCTTCTAAACCTGAAACCCCTCCTGAGCCCCGTCGAGTGCCCCATCCTTACCCCATAGGCCCAGGCTTACACCACCTGGTTATTCTTTATTCTCATGCACTCCAGGATGAGATCAGAGAATGAAGAGCGTCTTGAGGCCAGCCTGGGAGAGAAGCACCAGCCTTCCTATTGGCAAGGAACGACCCAGTGCTGGGGGGAGTGAGGGGCCCTCTGAGGGTGCCAGGGGCACGCTGGGAGCCGCTGCTAACTCCTCCAGACAGAGCCGCACTGGTCTGAGCGATCAGGTGACGCAGGCTCGATTTTCTCCTGAAGTGTTTTTTTTTTTCTCTGCAGGGGAGAGGGGGATAGTGGAGCTGGCATTTGAAAGACTCTGTACCAGTGTCCTCTCCTCAAACCCTCACATCGTGCTCAGGAGGGCTTGGACTGGACAAGACCCCACTGGACAGATGTGCAAATGGAGGCTGAAGGCCAACTGCCTTACTCAAGGGTGTTCAGAAGCCAGACCACCTCCTTTCAACCCCGTGCCCAGCCCAGTTATGTGGCCCAGGGTGCAAACAGAAGGTTTCGAGCAGGACTGGAATATACTGGTCTTCAGTGAAATGTTTTTTTTTGTTTGTTGTTTGTTTGTTTGAGACAGAGTCTTGCTCAGACTGGAGTGCAGTGGCACAATCTCAGCTCACTGCAACCTCCACCTCCCGGGTTCAAACAATTCTCTGCCTCAGCCTCCTGAGTAGCTGGGATTACAGGTGGCTGCCCCCACGCCTGGCTAATTTTTGCATTTTTAATACAGATGGGGTTTCACCATCTTGGCCAAGCTAGTCTTGAGCTCCTGACCTCGTGATCCACCCACCTCGGCCTTCCAAAGTGCTGGGATTACAGGCGTGAGCCACCGTGCCCAGCAAGTTTTGTTTTTTTGAGACAGAGTCCCATTCTGTCACCCAGGCTGGAGTGCAGTGGTGTGATCTCAACTCACTGCAAGATGGAGACCTCCCGGGTTCAAGCGATTCCCCTGCCTCAGCCTCTCGAGTAGCTGGGACTACAGATGCCTGCCAGCATGCCTGGCTAATTTTTGTGTTTTTTTTTTTTTTTTTTGTTTGTTTTTTGAGACGGAGTCTGGCTCTGTCACCCAGGCTGGAGTGCAGTGGCGCGATCTCGGCTCACTGCAAGCTCCGCCTCCCGGGTTTACGCCATTCTCCTGCTCTCAGGCCTCCCGGAGTAGCTGGGACTACAGGGCGGCCCCGCCACCCTCGCCCCGGGCTAGGTTTTTTGTATTTTTAGTAGAGACGGGTCCGTTTGACCGGTGGTGTTTGGATTCAGTGAGGAATGGGGGTTTCACCGTGTTAGCCAGGATGGTCTCGATCTCCTGACCTCGTGATCCGCCCGTCTCGGCCTCCCAAAGTGCTGGGATTACAGGCTTGAGCCACCGCGCCCGGCCTAATTTTTGTATTTTTAGTAGAGACAGGGTTTCACCACGTTGGCCAGGCTGGTCTTGAATTCCTGACCTGCAGTGATCCGCCTGCCTTGGCCTCCCAAAGTACTGAGATCACAGGCAAGAGCCACCATGGCTGGCCAAAAGGGGTTTTGAAAAGGAAGAGTCAAAAAGGACACCTGGACTGTAGGAGGCAAGAAGCCTGCCCTCTCTGATCTTGCTCCCCCGCTTCCCTACCCCAAGCCCTTTGGAGACCTTGGGAGATCTGTGCATTGTTCCAGGCCCTGGAGCAGCCTCAGCCACATCAGAACGTGGCAGGCATGCCCACCTCTTACCTGGCATCAATCTCCTTCCTCTGTCTTCTTGAACATGGCCAAGGCTTGCGCCAGCACACCATCAGGGTCTAGGATTTTGACCTGGAGGGAAATACCAAGAAGTTGGTTTGGAGAACATGGAGGGCCCAGGCTGCCAGCCTTGACGGGTGCTGCCTGCCCGGTGGGGCGCTGCCAGCCTTATCAGGAGCCACCTCTCTTGCTAGGGATGCCCTGACTGAAAACAAAACCTTGTCTGTTCCCTGTCTGGGCTGGGCTGGCCTGGCAGGTCTGGGCTGGGCATGGCTGGGGGTGCTGGCTTCTGTCTCTGTCTGGGTGTGGCTACAGGGCCCTGGTGAGGGCTGCCCACCTCAGGAATGGGGAACTGAGTGGGCTCAGGGGCCTCATCACGGCCAAAGTCGATCATTGTCCCGCACTTGGCCATATTGTCCACCCAGAAGCCTTCAAACAGCTGGCCGTGGTCCAGATGGAAGAAACGCCCCGGCCCGTTCTTCATGCCTCTCTCCCAGCAGCCCTCGTAGCGGTTCCCGTTCTCTGGGGGGAAAGGACAGGGAGGTGTGGTGCAGGGTACACCAAACTAAACTAGACCCCCAGGGGTCGCTCTTCCAGAGCTCCGTGCAAATCCCAACATATTGGGAGGACAAGATGGGAGGCTCATAAGCCCAGGAGATCAAGACCAGCCTGAGCAATATAGTGAGACCCCATCTCTGCAAAAACAATTTTTAAAAAATTAGCTGGGCATGGTGGTGTGCACCTATAGTCCCAGCTACTCAGGAGGCTGGGGTGGGAGGATGGCTTAAGTTCAGGAAGTTAAGGCTGCAGTGAGCTGAGATTGCCCCACAGTACTCCAGCCTGAGTGACAACCTCTGCCTCCTGAGTTCAAACAATTCTCCTGTCTCAGCCTCCCAAGTAGCTGGGATTATAGGTTCGTGCCACCATGCCTGGCTAATTTTTTTATTTTTGTAGAAATGGGGTTTCTCCATGTTGGCCAGGCTGGTATTGAACTCCTGACCTCAGGTGATCCACCCGCCTCGGCCTCTGAAAGTGCTGGGATTACAGGCAGGAGACACCGTGCCCAGTCTGTTTTTATTCTTTTAATTATTTTTAAATGTTTTTTAAAATTTTTTTCAGATGGAATTTCGCTCTTGTAGCCCAGGCTGGAATGCAATGGCCCAGTCTTGGCTCACCGCAACCTTGGTCTCCCGGGTTCAAGCGATTCTCCTGCCTCAGCCTCCTGAGTACCTGGGATTACAGGTGCCCACCACCACACCCAGCTAATTTTTGTATTTTTAATATAGATGGGGTTTCTCCATGTTGGTCAGGCTGATCTCAATCTCCTGACCTTATGATCTGCCCGTCTCTGCCTCCCAAAGCTCTGGGATTACAGGTGTGAGCCACTGCGCCCGGCCTTTTTTTAAAAATTGAGATATAAGTTCATATAACATAAGTTGACCATTTTGAAGTGTATAGTTCAGTGGCATTTAGTACATTCACAATGCTGTGCAACCATTACCTCTATCTACTTTCAAAACGTTTTAGTCACCCCAAAAGGAAACCCCGTGCCCATTAAGCAGCCATTCCCCACACCCGCTAACGTCACCATTCCCATAGTCCTAGGCAACCATTAGTCTATTTTCTGTCTCTATGTGTTCTAAAAATTTCATACAAATAGAATCATATATATGTGACCTTTTGTGACTGAGGGGAGGGATAGGGTCCTCTTCCTCTCTTGTCCCACATTGACACAAGGGCCAGTGTGGGACAAGAGTGTGGGGTGTGGCCTGTCTCTGTGGGACCAGATGGGCGTGGCCAGCTCGCTGCCGGGGGCGTGGTCATGTGGGCGGGGCCGGCGGGGGCGGGGTACTCACTCAGGCGCAGCATGCCGTCCCCGTTGGGCTTGTCGTTCTCCCACTGTCCCTCGTAGATGTCGCCGTTGCTGTAGTACATGCGGCCCCACCCGCTGCGCTGGCTGCCACACCACTCACCCTCATAATACTCCTTGGGTCCGAAAAACTGGATCCCATAACCCTGAAACCACCAAGATGCTACTACTCAGGCCCCCCCACCCGCCAAACCAGGAAAGCCTGCTGTCCTCCCAGGCACCCCCAGAGCCACACGCCCCAGCTTCTTCCTTCTTCCTCAGCCCTACGTCCAAGCGGAGGGTCGTGTTTTAGCGGAGGATCGTGTCTTCTTTTTTTTTTTTTTTTTGAGATAGAGCCCCGCTCTGTCACCCAGGCTAGAGTGCAGTGGTGTGATCTCGGCTCACTGTAACCTCTGCCTCCCGGGTTCAAGTGATTTTCCTGCCTCCGTCTCCCGAGCAGCTGGGATTACAGACACACACCACCACGTCCTGCCAATTTTTGTATTTTTAGGAGAGACAGGGTTTCACCATGTTGGCCAGGCTGGTCTTGAGCTCCTGACTTCAAGTGATCCGCCCGCCTCAGCCGCCCAAAGTGCTGGGATTACAGGCATGAGCCACAGTGCCTGCTGATAATGTCTTGAAGGATCTCCCCATGCTCTGTTTCTCTCTGTCCCTCTGCAGCCGCCTCCATGCAGCCGGTCATTAAACTCCCTTCTCACTGACCTACCCTCTCTTCTCTCATCCCCACCCCACCATGCATCATGCAGCCCCTACAGCGCCAGAGGATTCTTTAAATCGCCCATCTAGGCTGACTCACTTTAGGAGGCTGAGGTGGGTGGATCACTTGAGGTCAGGAGTTTGAGACCAGCCTGGCCAACATGGTGAAACCCCATCTCTACTAAAAATACAAAAAATTAGCTGGGCGTGATGGTGGCACCTGTGATCCCAGTTACTCGGGAGGCTGAGGCAGGAGAATCATCTGAACCTGGGAGATGGAGGTTGCAGTGAGCTGAGATCCTGCCACTGCACTGTACGCTGGGTGATGGAGTGAGACGCTGTCTCAAAAAAAAAAAAATCGCCCATCTGATCATGCTCGCCCCCCTCCAACTCTTCTTTTGACCCAGAAAAATGAACATAAATACCATACTTAGCCTGGCGCGGTAGCTCACGCCTGTAATCCCAGCACTTTGGGAGGCCGAGGCGGGTGGATCACCTGAGGTCAGGAGTTTGAGACCAGCCTGACCAACATGGCAAAACCCTGTCTCTATTAAAAATACAAAAAATTAGCTGAGTGTGGTGGCCGGCGCCTGTAATACTAGCTACTTGGGAGGCTGAGACAGAAGAATTGCTTGAACCCAGGAGTCGGAGGTTGCAGTGAGCCAAGATAGCGCCATTGCACTCCCGCCTGGGCGACAGAGCGAGAGACTGTCTCAAAACAAAAAACAAAAAACAAAAAAACACCACACTTAGTGTCCAACAGCAGGGAAACAAGGTCTGTTTGCAGATCACACCTGAGGAGGTTGGGTTGAGAAGCCACATCTACTCCTCAAAATCCTGATTTCCCACATATCCCTGAGGGCCCCTGCAACTCTTCTCCTCAATCCTGCCCCAGGGCAGACACACTCTGCTGTTTTACATCTCCTTCCCTTTGCTATTTTTTGCCTCCCATCTTTCTTTTTTTTTTTTTTTTTTTTTGAGACGGAGTCTCGCTGTGTCGCCCAGGCTGGAGTGCAGTGGCCGGATCTCAACTCACTGCAAGCTCTGCCTCCCGGGTTTTTACGCCATTCTCCTGCCTCAGCCTCCCGAGTAGCCGGGACTACAGGCGCCCGCCACCTCGCCCGGCTAGTTTTTTTTTTTTGTATTTTTTAGTAGAGACGGGGTTTCACCGTGTTAGCCAGGATGGTCTCGAACTCCTGACCTCGTGATCCGCCCGTCTCGGCCTCCCAAAGTGCTGGGATTACAGGCTTGAGCCACCGCGCCCGGCCGCCTCCCATCTTTCTTCCTTTTTTTTTCCTGGTTAACTCCTAGCGTCTTTTAGTGTCACCTCCTACAGGAAGCCTGCCCTGAATTCTCTCTTTTTGAGACAAGTCTTGCTCTGTTGTCCATGCTGGAGTGTGGTGGCACCACCATAGCTCACTGTAGCCTCAGCCTCCTGAGATCAAGCAATCCTCCTGCCTCAGCCTTTTGAGAATTTGGGACTACAGATGTGCACCACAACATCTAGCTAATTATTATTATTATATAGTTTTATTTATTTTGAGATGGAGTCTTGCTCTCTTGCCCAGACTAAAGTGCAGTGGCGCGATCTCAGCTCACTGCAACCTCTGCCTTACGGGTTCAAGCGATTCTCATGCCTCTATCTCCCCAGCTGGGACTACAGGTGCACACCACTATGCCGGGCTAGTTTTTTTGTATTTTTATTTAGTAGAGACGGGGGTTTCACCATGTTGGCCAGGCTAGTCTCGAACTCCTGACCTCAAGTGATCCACCCCCATTGGCCTCCCAAATTGCTGGGATTACAGGCGTGAGCCATTGTGCCTAGCCTTCTGCCCTGAATTCTCTAGGCTGGGCTTAATGATCTTCCTCAGGGCACCCTGTGAAAACATCCCTCCTAACACCCTAACACCATATTCTTTTTTTTTTTTTTTTTTTGAGATGGAGTCTCGCTCTGTCGCCCAGGCTGGAGTGCAGTGGTGTGATGTCCGCTCACTGCAAGCTCCGCCTCCCGGGTTCACGCCATTCTCCTGCCTCAGCCTCCCGAGTAGCTGGGACTACAGGCGCCCGCCACCACGGCCGGCTAATTTTTTGTATTTTTAGTAGAGACAGGGTTTCACCGTGTTAGCCAGGATTGTCTCGATCTCCTGACCTCGTGATCTGCCCTCCTCGGCCTCCTAAAGTGCTGGGATTACAGGCGTGAGCCACCACGCCCGGCCCTAACACCGTATTCTATGTAAACTGGTTATTTGGGGCTTTCTCTTCCTACTTTGCCAATAAACAATTTGGGAGCAGAGAATACGAAACCTTGGGCTTTACCACTTGCTAGCTGTGTGACTCCAGGCAAGACTGAAACTGCCTTTGCAAAATTACGACTGAGACAGTGAAAGAGATTTAACTTAACTGACTCCATCTTGCTTCTAACCTCTAAGCTGTCCGTGTCCATTCCTGAGCTTAAGCTGAACTAACTTTGGGAGAAACTTGGTTTATAGTTTATAGTTTAAACAAAGACAGTAACAGCCGTTTCCCAAAGACCTCCTTCTTGCCTGGGGACTACATTGCCTTTGTAGGATTAACATTAAATACAAGATTATAAATTATGGTTTAGGAGTCATGCAGCTGGAAGCTACAAGATTCTGACCCTCCCTAAACTGCTGCTAAGATCAGTGCTGAAGATATTTTGCAGAACTTGCACTTGATGGATCAGCTGGCACCACCCAGATCAATAAACTGACTTATGTGATCTTGTGGCCCCCACCCAAAAACTCAGGGCAAAAAGATAGTTTTGACTCCCTGTGATTTCATCTCTGACCAATCAGCACGCCGGGCTCACTGTCTTTCCCCCACCCACCAAGTTATCCTTTTTTTTTTTTTTTGAGACAGAGTCTCGCTCTGTCGCCCAGGCTGGATCTTGGCTCACTGCAAGTTCCGCCTCCCGGGTTCACACCATTCTCCTGCCTCAGCCTCCTGAGTAGCTGGGTCTACAGGCGCCCGCCACCACGCCCAGTTAATTATTTTGTATTTTTAGTAGAGATGGGGTTTCACTGTGTTAGCCAGGATGGTCTCGATCTCCTGACCTCGTGACCCACCTGCCTTGGCCTCCCAAAGTGCTGGGATTACAGGTGTGAGAAACCACATCCGGCCCTCAAGTTATCCTTAAAACCTCTGCAGCCAGAATGTTCGGGGAGACCGATTTGAGAAATAATACAACTCAGGGCCAGGCGTGGGCAAGGTGAACCCCTTGGGCAGTTACAAGACACCTCATCTCTTCAAGCTTGTTTGCTTATCAATAAAACGGGCATGATCATGATGATGAGCTGTTGCTGTGAGAGTTAACTGAATATTAAATATGTGTTTCAGGCTGGGCATGGTGACCAGGCGTGAAACCCTGTCTCTACTAAAAATATAAAAAATTAGCTGGGCATGGTGGCGGGCGCCTGTAGTCCCAGCTACTCGGGAGGCTGAGGCAGGAGAATGGCATGAACCTGGGAGGCGGAGCTTGCAGTGAGCCAAGATCACACCACTGCACTCCAGCCTGGGCAACACAGCGAGACTCTCTGTCTCAAAAAAAAAAATTTTTTTAAATATGTGTTTCAGGCTCACGATAGTAGTTGCTCAGTTGCAATATTGTTTATTATTGTGTCTCCATGACTGATGGTGAGGATTCCTCCACACTGGTGGGAGTAGGTGGAGGTAACCTGTGCCCAGCTTGGGTGTTTCTGGGCTGAGCACGTGCCTCTGGCTGGCTTCGGCCCCTCGGGACGCTCCTCTCTTGTCCTCTGCCCTCTTGCTCCCACTTTTCCTACCTCCCCTTCTATCCAGTCCCAGCAGAAGGGAGATTCTCAGAAAGAGATGCCTGGGGAAAAGAAAGCCAGGAAGCGAGGGGGAAGAGGGTGGAGGCAATTTTGTCCCTACAAGCCCGGCTGGCTCCTTGCAACCACAGGGTTTTGTGAGCTCCTCCCTGGCCTTCTCTTGCTTCCTGTTTCCTGGATTTTGTTCTGAGAAACTTTGCAATTCCTCCACCCCTTCCTTCTCCCACGCACACCACAACCTTGTCCTCCTCCCTGTAGACCTCCCCTCTTTTTTCTCCCCGGCCTCTCTCGGCTCCCCCTACACACACACACACACACACACACACACAGAGCCTGGCTGGCAGCCCTCCTCACCGATTTCTTATCACCTTTCCACCAGCCTGAGTAGACTCTCCTGCATTTTCCTGTCTGTTGATCAGGAAGGCTGAGGGTGCCATAGCCGTCGCGCTTCCCAAACTTCCAGTCCCCTTCATAGATGGCTCCGTTCTTCTTCCAGACCTGTGTTCCTTTCCCTGGTGACACACAGATGGGCAATGCTACAGACGTGGCCGCCCAGGGGTGGGGGTGGTGTGCCTGCCTGAGCCTCAGGGGTCCCTGACTGGATGAATCTTGAGAGCTGGGACAGGCTCTGCGCATCATCCTAGACACCCAATTCCCAGGAGAAGGCCAAGAAAGTTTCATTTTTTTTTTTTTTGAGACAGCATCTCTCTCTGTCACCCAGGCTGGAGTGCAGTGGCACCATCTCAGCTCACTGCAACCTCTGCCTCCCAGGTTCAAGAGATACTCCTGACTCAGCATTCAAAGCAGCTAGGACTATAGGCGCGAGCCAACACACCTAGCTAATTTTGTGTTTTAGTAAAGATGGGGTTCCATGTTGGCCAGGAAGGTCTCAAACTCCTGACTTCAAGTGATACGTCCACCTTGGCCTCCCAAAGTTCTGGGATTACAGGCATGAGCCACTGCATCCGGCCAGAGGTAATTCTCTTTGTTTATTGATTGGTGTCACATGTCTGTCTTTTCCAGGAGAATGTGAGCTGCAGGAGGGCACAGACTTTGGTCTGTTTTGTTCACTGCACTGAAAATCTGTGCCTGGAGACTGGGCGCAGTGGCTAATGCCCGTAATCCCAGCGTTTTGGGAGGCTGAGGTGGGTGGATCACCTGAGGTCAGGAGTTTGAGACCAGCCTGGCCAATATGGTGAAACCCTGTGTCTACTAAAAATATAAAAATTAGCCGTAATCCCAGCTACTCAGGAAGCTGAGGCATGAGAATCACTTGAAACTGGGAGGCGGAGGTTGCAGTGAGCCGAGATGGCGTCATTGTGCTCCAGCCTGGGAAACAAGAGCGAAACTCCATCTCAAAAAAAAAACAAAAAAACAAAACTGTGCCTGGCATGTTCTTGCGGGAAATCAGGGATCCTGAACGGAGGGACCGGCTGAAACCATGGCAGAAGAATGTAAATTGTGAAGATTTCATGGATATTTATTAGTTCTCCAAATTAATACTTTTATAATTTCTTACACCTGTCGTTACTGCAATCTCTGAGCATAAATTGTGAAGATTTCATGGACACTTACCACTTCCCCAATCAATACCCTTGTGATTTCCTATGCCTCTTCACTTTAATCTCTTAATCCCATCATCTTCGTAAACTGAAGAGGATTATGTCGCCTCAGGACCATGTGATGATTGCATTAACTGCACAAATTGTTTGTAGAGCATGTGTGTTTGAACAATATGAAATCTGGGCACCTTGAAAAAAGAACAGGATAACAGCAATGTTCAGGGAACAAGGGAGATAACCTTAAACTCTGACTGCTGCTGAGCTGGGAAGAACAGAGCCGTATTTCTCTTCTTTCAAAAGCAAATAGGAGAAATATCGCTGAATTCTTTTTCTCAGCAAGGAACATCCCTGAGAAAAAGAATGCGCCCCTGAGAGTAGGCCTCTAAATGGCCCCTTTGGGAGCGGCTGTCTTTTACGGTCGAAGCTGAAGGGATGAAATAAGCCCCGGTCTTCTGTAGCGCTCCCAGGCTTATTAGGATGAGGAAATTCCCGCCTAATAAATTCTGGTCAGACAGATTGTCTGCTCTCAAACCCTGTCTCCTGATAAGATGTTATCAATGAAAATGCGTGCCCGAAACTTCATTAGCAATTTTAATTTCGCCCCGTCCTGTGGTCCTGTGATCTCGCCCTGCCTCCATTTGCTTTGTGATATTTTATTACCTTGTGAAGTATGTGATCCCTGTGACCCACAACCTATTTGTACACTCCCTCCCCTTTTGAAAGTCGCTAATAAAAACTTGCTGGTTTTACGGCTCAGGAGCATCACGGAACCTGCCGACATGTGATGTCTCCCTTGGACACCCAGCTTTAAAATTTCTCTCTTTTGTACTCTTTCCCTTTATTTCACAGACCAGTCGATGCTTAGCGAAATGGAAAAGAACCCACGTTGAATATCGGGGCGGGGGGTTCCCCCAATAGCATGTTGTAGGTGACTAATACCTGTTAACTTTTTTTTTTTTTTTTGAGATAGAGTCTTGCTCTGTCACCCAGGCTGAAGTGCAGTGTTGTGATCTCAGCTCACTGCCACCTCCGCCTCCTGGGTTCAAGAGATTCTCCTGCCTCAGCCTCCCCAGTAGCTAGAATTACAGGCGCCTGCCCCAATGTCCAGCTAATTTTTGTATTTTTAGTAGAGATGGGATTTTACCATATTGGCCAGGCTGGTCTCTAACTCCTGACATTGTGATCCACCTGCCTTGGCCTCCTGTAATGCTGGGATTACAGGCATGAGCCACCATGCCCAGACTTTTTTTTTTTTTTTTTTTGAGACAGAGTTTTGCACTCATTGCCCAGGCTGGAGTGCAATGGCTCGATCTTGGCTCACTGCAACCTCCACCTCTCAGGTACAAGCGATTCTTCTGCCTCAGCCCACCTAGTAGCTGGGATTACGGGAATGCACCACCACATCCGGCTGATTTTGTATTTTCAGTAGAGACAGGGTCTCTCCATGTTGGTCAGGCTGGTTTCAAACTTCCAACCTCAGATGATCTGCCCGCCTCGGCCTCCCAAAGTGCTAGGATTACAGGCATGAGCCACTGCCCCGGCCTTTTTCTTTTTTGTTTTTAGATAGGAAAGGACTGGCTGTATTGCCTATGCTAACGTGCACAGCTCACTGCAGCCTCAACCACCCAGGCTCAAATGATCCTTCCACCTCAGCCTCTTGAGTACCTGAGACCACAGGTGCATGCCACTCCACCTGGCTAATTTTTAAAAAAAAATTTATAGAGGTGGAGTCTCTCTATATTGCCCAGGCTGGTCTCAAACTACTGAGCTAAAGCAATCCTCCTGCCTAGGCCTCCCAAAGTACTGGGATTACAGGTACAAGGCACCACACCAGGCATTTCTTTCTTTTAGAGATAGGGTCTTGCTATGTTGCCCAGGCTAGTCTTGAACTCTTGAGCTCAAGAGATTCTCCCTTCTCAGCCTCTTGAAGAGCTGGGAATACAAGCACACACCACTGCACCCAGCTTAATACATAGTTAATGAAAGGATGAATAAAATATTTGTGGAGTACCTATATTGGCCAATTCAAGTCTGGGTCCTTGGTAACCCAGCAACAAATTCAACATTTTCCTTCTGAGCTTTGTGACCTTAACCAAGTAAGCTAATTCCTTGGGTCTCTCTGAGCCTCAGATACCTCAGCTGTAAAATGGGTATAAGAATATCTTATGGGGGGGTTGGGTGCAGTGGCTCACACCTGTAATCTCAGCACTTTGGGAGGCTGAGGCTGGTGGATTGCCTGAGGTCAGGAGGTTGAGACCAGTCTGGCCAACACAGTGAAACCCCATCTCTACTGAAAATATAAAAAATTAGCTAGGTGTGGTGGTGGGTGCCTGTAATCTCAGCTACTTGTGAGGCTGAGGTGGGAGAACTGCTTGAACCTGGAAGGTGGAGGTTACAGTGAGCTGAGCCGAGATCACACTATTGCACTCCAGCCTGGGCAACAAGAGTGAGATTCTCTCTCTCAATCTCAAAAAAATAAAATAAAATCTTATGGGGACTGGGAGCAGTGGCTCATGCCTGTAATCCCAGCACTTTGGGAGGCCGAGGCAGGCTGATCACTTGAGGTCAGGAGTTCGAGACCAGCCTGGCCAACATGGTGAAACCTGGTATCTACTAAAAATACAAAAATTAGCTGGGCGTGGTGGTACACGCCTGTAATCCCAGCTACTCTGGAGGCTGAGGCAGGAGAATCACTTGAATCTGGGAGGTGGAGTTTGCAGTGAGCCGAGGTCGCACCACTGCACTCCAGCTCGGGTGACAGAGTGAGACTCCAAGAAAGGAAGAAAGAGGGGGAGGGCGAGGGAGGGGGGAAGGAAGGAAGGGAAGGAGGGAAAGGGAGAAAGAAAGAAAGAAAACGTGCCATTTGTGACAACATGGATAAATCTGGAGGACATTATGCCAAGTGAAATTAAGCCAAGCACAGAAAGACAAATACTGCATGATTTTACTTGTATGTGGAATCTAAAAAAGTCAAACTCATAGAAACAGTAAAATAGCAGTTACCAGGGGCTGGTGGGGTGGGGAAAATGTGGAGATGTTCTGTCAAAGGGTGCATACTTTTTGTTATAAGATGTACAAGATTTGGAGACCTAAGGCTGGGCACGGCGGCTCACCCCTGTAATCCCAGCAATTTGGGAGGCTGAAGCAGGTGAATCACTTGAGGCCAGAAGTTCGAGACTAGCCTAGGCAACATGGTTAAGCCCTGTCTCTATTAAATAGACACAAATTAGCCTGGTGTGGTGGTGCGTGCCTGTAATCCCAGCTACTCAGGAGGTTGAGGTAGGAGAATTGCTTGAACTTCAGAGGCAGAGGCTGCAGTGAGTAACACTGCACCACTGCACTCCAGCCTGGACAGAGTGAGACTCTGTCTCAAAACGAACAGGTCGGACACAGTGGCTCATGCCTGTAATCCCAGCACTTTGGGAGGCTGAGGCAGGTGGATCATGAGGTCAGGAGATCGAGACCATCCTGGCCAACATGGTGAAACCCTGTCTCTACTAAAAATACAAAAATTAGCTGGGCATGGTGGTACGCACCTATAGTCCCAGCTACTTGGGAGGCTGAGGCAGGAGAATGGCTTGAACCCGGGAGGCGGAGGTTGTAGTGAGCCGAGATGGCAGCACTGCACTCCAGCCTGGGCGACAGAGCACAACTCTGTCTCAAACAAAATGAAACTAGATCAGGAAGTGAAGAGGATTCCTCCATCCTGTCACTAAGATGCTGATAGACATGTGTATCATGCAGAGGTATACTTGCAGGAAGAGAGAAAAAAAAGGCCAGCCAGGGAGAAGCAGAAATAAGATGGAGAAGTTGTTCTAAGCCTTCCCTGAGGTTGGCTCCACTCCTGCCTTTCTAATAATTTGCTTTTATGGGGTGCTTCGTTCTCCTGATTTGCTGACGCTGTCGTCTCGTACGTGGATGTCTGCAAGGGCCTCTGAGGGGTCTTGCTG